TTAATACAATTATATAGTTTTCAGGTGTACATTATAATTTAACATCTGTATATTCTATTGTGTGTTTACCACCCAAAGTCCAATTTCCTTCAGCTACCAAATATTTGATCCCCTTTACCCACTTCACCCTCCTCCTATCCTCCTATATTTGATCCCCTTTACACCGTCTACCTCTTCCCTCCTCCCCTACCCCCTACTCTCTGGTAACCACTAGTCCATTGTCCATGTCCTTGAGTCTCCGTTTGTCCTGTTCATTTGTTTCTTTTAGGTTTATATCCCACATATAAGTGATATCATGTGATTTTCTACTTTTTCTGTCTGGCTTATTATATATGTACCACAGCTTCTTTAACCAATCATCTATTGTAGGACACTTCGGTTGCTTCCATGTCCTGGCCACTGTGAATGATGCTGCTATGAACATCAGTGTGCAAATGTCTTTTCGGATATGGGTTTTCAAGTTTTGGGGATAAATGCCTAGAAGAGGGATTGCTGGATCATATGCTAGGTCAATCTTTAGTGTTTTGAGGAACCTCCATATTGGCTGTACCAATCTGCAGTCTCACCAGCAGTGTATGAGGGTTCCTATTTCTCTGCATCCTCTCCAACACTTGTTATTACTAGTCCTGTGGCTAACAGCTATTCTAACAGGTGTGAGATGGTATCTCATTGTGGTTTCATTTGCATTTCCCTAATAGCTAGCAATGTTGAGCATCTTTTCATATATTTGTTGGCCATTTGTATATCCTAGGGAGAAGTGTTTGTTCAGGTCCTCTGCCCATTTTTTGATTGAATCATTTTTGTTTTTTTTGTTGTTTTTATTAAGTCGTATGAGTTCTTTGTATATTTTGGATATTAGGCCCGTATTGGAGGGGTTGCTTGCAAATATATTTTCCCATTTGGATGGTTGTCTCTTTACCTTTTTCTTTTGCTGAGCAGAAGCTTTTTAGTTTGATGTAGTCCCGGAATTCATTTATTTTAGCTTTGACTTCCCTTGCTTTTAAGATCAAATTCACAAAATCCTCTTTAAGTCCAAGCTCCTAGAGTTTAGTTCCTATGTTTTCTTCTATGAATTTTATTGTTTCAGGTCTTATATTTAGGTCCTTAATCCATTTCGAGTTAATTTTGGCGTGTGATGATAGACAACATTCTATTTTCATTCTTTTGCAAGTGGCTTTCCAGTTTTCCCAGCACCATTGATAGAAGAAGCTTTTCCTTCTCCACTGTCTTTTTGTAGAAAATTATTTGCCCATATAAATATGGGCTTACTTCTGGACTCTTGATTCTGTTCCACTGGTCCGTGTGTCTGTTTTTCTGCCACTATGATGAATTTTACTATAGGTAAATCATGTCTCAGAAAACGAAAAAACAAAAAAACAAAAAAAAACCCCTTGTGTTTCAGAGTGGTTATAGAAATTATCAGTGATTATTCTCCTCTCTCATTTTTTCTTCTGTCTGATTCTTCATTTTTCTCTGCTGCTTCAATGTCTTTTAGAAATTTAAGGATCATGATGAATTACAATTTCTTATTTCAGAGTTGAGGACTACAGAACATTTGTCTTTATCTGTCCTTATCTGAAGTCTTGGAGTCAGATTTTAAATCGACTCATAAACTATATTTTTATATTTCTAGATATTGCAATTAGTGCTGAATAAATCATAGCAGGAATTTGCATACTCTGTAAAATACACCAAATATACTTTCTTTGACTGGATTCTAGATCTCTGTCCTGTGGCAGCGGGAATGCTCCATATGATCGGTAGGATGTCCTGATTTTTGAGCCTCAGTGTTCCCTGAGAAAGGCTTCTTCCAGCAAGCCATTGTTCTATATCAGCTGTTCTCGAACTGGAGCAAGCCTCAGAATCACCTGGAGGAGCAGTTAAAACACACATTGCTGCCCCCCCACCCCAAATTACTTATCCTATAGGTCAGGGTGGGGTCCAAAAATTTGCATTTCTCACTAGTTCTCAGATGATATGGGTGCTACAGTTTTGGGGCGCAGACCTTGAGAACCACTGATTGATGCTTCTTGTATTACAATGTCAAAATTCCTGTCCGCTTCTAGTAGCCAACATTTTATTTTTTAAACCACTTATGGGGGCAGGAGAAAGAGAGAGCAATAGAGGGTGAGAGACAGATCGTAGTGTTTGGCTAGAGGCCACAAAGTCATACCTGAAAGACACCTGGTGCTGGCAAGAGAATCAAAAGGTTTGTCTAGCTGCCCTCCCACCTCCTTCCTTTTATCTTCTTGGGCGTCATCATGCTACATCATAATTATTTTATCTCCCTAGTAACAGGCTCCTCTTGGACTCTAATTCTCTCTACTTTGAAAGTTCTGAGGACTCTTATTAGACCTCTGCTGCCCATTGGCCTAAAATATTCTGTTAAGACTTTTCACTGCCTAGTTTGTAATAAAGAGGCCCTCCTCCTCACACTTAAATTTCATGATTGTATCCTATTTTTTTTTCAGACCGGTAGTAATTTTAACTGAATAAAGTCAAAGTACCATAAACTGCACAATTTGAAGCAGTCTGGTATGTGTAGGTAGGTGACTGATTTCAACCGAACAGTTATAAATCGTGCTCTTGTATCAAACAATTCCCTAGACTAAGGAAGAAATAACCCTAATAATTTTAATAGCACTAGGTATAAAAAGAATACGAGTAAAATTTAGAATCTTAAAAACAATTTATAGGTGTTAAATTTAAATAATCACAGATTATTTTATCTTTCCAAATGCCAAAGCAGAAACTGAGGGCTATGTATAAATATTTGTTTAGAATTTCTATTATTTTAAGATTGCTGTAAGATATTGTACTGTAATGATATCTGCTGATTTTTCTCTGTGATAGATTAAATACAATATATTATGCTTAGAGCTGATGTCCTTTTATCCTTCCACCACTACCCCACTGATTATCAAGAGTCTTTAGAGAAAATGGGTCATTGTACTGGTTGATTACATGCCTCAATTGAATAGTAGCTGGCTGCCAATTATCATTACAATGCCATATTGATTTTTTTCCTCATTTTCACTATGAAAATTAAAGCAGAATTTGTTTAAAACGAGCTTCTGTATATGTTCTGGATGTGATTGGTTCTGAATATTTGAGCTATTTTAAAAATATATTTTCTTCTGTGATCTGATGTTTCGTACTGAAATTTTCTTAGAAATTTAGGTCTCTACTTTGTTGAAAAGCTTTCCCTTAGGTAGACATGAAATGTAGCTTAAAGATTGCCAAATGGAACTATAATCATGGTTTAAATATGTATAGATTTTAATTATTGCTTCATAGGAATCTGCTATATATCAATTTACGTTTGTGAAGTTCTTGGGCGATATGAGACTGCTGATTCTCTTAACCACACGTCAGTAAATTTATTTCAGTTTGAATTAGCAAATATTTAGTGTTGATTATATGTAAGCCACTCTACTAAAATATTATGGAAGACAGAAAAATGAGATAATATAACTGTCCTCAGAATTTTTAATCCAGAAATGTGGGCAAGACATGTGGTGAGAATCATATTATCAAGCAATAAGAAATAAAGATACATAGGCGTTCGATGGGAAAACAACTGATATTTGGATGGAGGACTTATGGAGAAAATCATTAGTGGAGGAATTGACAGTCAGTTTGAGCTTTGAAGGGTTTGGAGAGGTGGAGTTATGGTTACCTTTTGGAAAGAAAGAATAAATGAAGTAACGCAGGGAATTGCAAGGAGGACTCCAGCAGAGAATTTGATTTTTACTGGAACAAGTGGTATAAGGCCTGAGGCTGTAAAGATAGGTTGAGGGTAAATCAGAATCTGGATTTAAAATGTGTTAGATAGTCCAGGGGAAATTTTTTGACAGAAGACTGGTTAAGTGCAATCTAGCCCGGCATTTTGTAAAAGGAATAAAAGAAAAAAATGAAGCTGCAGTGATCTTAGTCGGGAGGCTCCTGACATATTAAAGACAAAGTAACTAGGGCTAAACTAGAAAGTTAGCAGAGACATTGGAATAGGGGGAGGGGCATGTGTTGGAGTCATTCTAGAAGTAGAATACTCATGACTAGATGACAGGAAGTCAAAGTAAGATCGACGTGATCAATCGTCCAGCCTTCTACCATACGTGGGACTTCATCTCCTGCTGCTCTCTCAAGCCTGCTTATTCAGCTGTAGCCAAACAGGTCTCCTTGCAGTTCCTGGAATATTCCAGCCATACTAGCTACCATCTCAGTACCCGATTTGCCTCTGTTCCTTCATTCCTTCTACTGGGAAAGTCCTCTCTTCAAGGCTCTGCTCAAATACTACCTTATCAAAGAATCTTTCCCTGACCACATATTAAAAAATAACATCCTAGCACTCTTTATTCCATTTATGAAAGTTTATTTTTCTTTATAGCACCAAAGCACTGACATTTTGTTATATATTTATCTGCTTATCATCTGGCTCCCTCTTTCTAGACACTAAGCTATATGAGGGTAAGGACTTAGTTTTATGTCCTGTTACATATCTCTCACCTAGAATGTGCCTGGTACTTCATAGGCACTCAATAAATATTTATTGAGCGAATCGACAGAATAAATGCAAAGGTGAAAGAGACGGGGGATCAAAAAATTATGCCAGTATTTCAAATCTGAAGGATTCAAAGGATAGTGGTGTTATTAACAGATTATGGAAGAATGGAAGAGATGTTGATTTATGGAAGCACAGACACGGAGGGAGATAAATTTAGCTTATAAATTTTGGCTTAAATATATGTTACTGGTGAAACAACCAAGGAAGTGCTGTGGAATGGATAATCTAAAATATGAAGAGAAGTGTGCTATTGAAGTGAAGATCTCTAAGTCATCCTCACAGAAAATGCTTGAAACAATGGGAATAGAAAAAAAGAATGACAAGCATATAAAGATAGGATTATCAGATTTGAAAATCAAAATTTTATTTTAGATACTTAATGTTTAAAATATACAAACTTATTTATACGTATTTTTTTTGTTTGTTTATTTCATAGCTGGGTTAACAACTTTGGCTATGAAGGTCTTGGACTCTTATTGGATGTGCTGGAAAAGCTTCTGGACAAGAAACAGTAAGAATAAACATGAAAAAAATTAACAAAGGGGAAATTTTTAAGCACAACACAACATGTTTTTTTTTTCTTTTATTCAGGCAAGAAAATATTGACAAGAAGAATCAGTATAAACTTATCCAGTGCCTCAAAGCATTTATGAATAATAAGGTAAGTACTATTTATTTTTGCCTGTCACAAAAGGTGAGAACTTGCCTGCAAGTATAAAATAGACAAAATAGTGTATGTTTATTAAGCTTGTTAATGGGTCTTTATGATGCAAATCATCGTTTCACTTAAATATTATTTAAAATATATTTTGCTTCACAAAATATTTATTGGTAGGTTTTTGCAATCATGCAAACATATAAGTCTTGTTCCCAAATTAGATAATACTTTCTGTTTTATGGTAGTAGGAAAATTTAAATGCCATATGTCGAATACCATTTTCTAACAGAGTTTTTGTTCCACTGAAAAGGAAAATTCAAAGCTATAGTTTGACTTATTTGCTAAGAACGTTATAAGGTTAAGATTTTCTTTTATGTACAATTAATGTCAGTGAATTAACATACATAAAAGACATTTCTGCAGGATAGTGGTTTTTTTTTGTGTGTGTGTACGTATGATACCTGCTTCATTATGAGGGACTCTATGAAATACTGTAGACCACGGTTGTTTTTCTATAAGTAGTCTTTTCTCAGGTTATGAAGTTATAGTCATTTTTGTATAAACTATTTTGTCACTGTCTTCTATAGCTCTTAATAACCAATGCAATAAGATGATCTAATCTGTAGTCTTTTTTAAGTGTATGGGACTATAGATAAGTATGTATATATTGTACACACATGTATCAGTGAAGAATTTTTTGGCATGTGGAACAGATGCTGACTACTTGACACAAAACTCCCATACAGAATATACTAATTGTGCTGTTCCTGGAAGTTTCTTCCAGAAAGATTTCCGTCAGTGCTAGTACAGAATTTTTCGACTTCTGTACTCTTAGTCTTTGATGACAAAGTTATTCAGAATCTGATGCCTAATAAGAAAGCACTTAATGAACATTGCTTCTCCACATGTCAAGATGGATTTTTTTCTTCAGTTGAGGGAAACAAGGAAATAATGGGAAGACAACACCGTATTAGGAATAAGGAGATACAGTTCATGCTTTGCCACTAAGTTGAAAGGCCTTTGGCAAATCACTTGACTTCTCTGGCTATCAGTCTTCTCATCTGTAAAATTAGTTGTAGAACTCTTTGTTCTAAATTCTTATTGACTCACGTAACTGTAACTGTAATTGTAACTGTTACAAGTAACTGTAATCAGGGTAGTCACTAGAGAAAGTCATATATGTGAGATTTGCAGTAGAGCCTTTTCCCAAAGACATAAATTGAATTATTACTTAAGAGTTTGATAGTTTTGAAGAACATGATGGTTTGATGTAGATTATAATACCGTAAGGTTAAGCTTTAGTTAGGACACATTAATGTCTTGTACATAGGGGCCCATAATACAAATAAATGGTGGGTCTTTTAAGTTATAGGCATGCGGAGCAATAGGCATAAAGTATGCATTCAAAATAAAAATATACAGTGATATGTCCATTTCATGTTGGAATAAATTGTCATAAGCAAAGAACAAAACTTTCCTCTGAAATGACTTAAATATAAAATTTGTAGGCCCCAATAAACCTTCCTACCTCAGAAATTTCCTACCTCAGAAATTTCCCTTATACAATGCACATCACAATAGAATCATAAAAAGCCGCCCATTGCTTCTTAACCTCCATTGCTGTAATATTGCTCTGATGTTTAGCTTGATGATTTACCATCATTTTTCATAACTTTCTTTTTATTTTCAGTATGTCCCTATGTATTAGCAACTGCTTTTAAACAATAAGTGGGAATTTAAAAATTTTAAATGATTTCACTCTCAGTCTAATTGATTTTTAAAACTGTTATTTTAAGTTGGTAGTTGCATGGTAATCATCTATCTCTTAGTTTGGCACATGTGTTTTTCACTTTTTTCCCTTACTATATATTATCTACTAGCCACATTTATGCATACATATCCCTTCTGTTTTCTTGGCTTCTTTTCAATCTTCTTTTATTTCCTTTTTTCTTTTTCTTTCTTTCCTTCCTTCTTTCCTTCCTTCTCTCCCCTCCCCTC